AGTGATGCTATTATTTTAAAAAAATGCAAAATCATTAATCAATTATTTTTAGTCTGCCTCATGATAGATTGTTGCTTCCTTTAAGATGCTGAAACTGGTATCTTAAATTCATTGGAAAAAACCCACGGAACATGCACTGCAATCAGAACTGTCTCTCCACAGCAAATCTAGAAAGACAAAAGTGTGTCACACTGACGAAAAACAGAATCAGTCACAAACAATCTGCAACAGGAACGCTCACCATTATTTGTGCTGTTGTTAAAACCCTGGAATAATAAGTAACAGTCAAAAAATGTAAAGATCCCAAAAGGCACAACTGCTGCATGGCTCTGGTAAATAAAGGTACAGTTGTAAACACCCACGTAGGCTGAGTATTCAAAATTCCTAGGCAAAACTAATGAAAAGAACCACAGATTGACATTAGAAAATTTAAACCTTAGCAACAGAGAAAATCTCATCTTCTCATCTTCAAAAACTTGACACAGCTCCTTCATCTTTTTATCTGTTTGTACATACATGATTATTTTTTGGTGCTTTTCAACCAACAATTGCATGGATGTTGGTGGTTTATAGTTGGCTATTATTTCTTTTCTCTTCTTAACATATATATATTGCATTCATATTCATATTTAATCACCACTCAAAATCAACAGCAACCAAAAAAATCCCCTGACTCCTTATGGATAACCTCCAACAGTCTTATTTTTCAGCTATACATAAAATATCACGTAATTGCAGTTAAAACCTTCCTAAAAATGTAATTCTTTTTTCTTAGGAAAACCACCCACAGTCTAACAAATAAAATTGCAACCCACTTGGTAACTATGCAGGAAGGTGAGAGTAATAGGCAGCAACCCTTCAGAATATGTTTTAGTTATATATTTCCTTATAAACATGTAATGGAATTAAAAATTATAAGACTCATAGTAAAACAAAAGGTCAGAAAACAAAACTACCAACAAATACAATTACCTTATGCTTTTAGCTAATTGTGACACTAAAGCCACAGGAAATAAACACATTTCAATTAGTAATTTCAACCCAGTGGAGAACAGACATTCTAATGATTTTTTTTCCAGCACGTATTTCTTAGAAAATCTCAGTAACAGCAAGTTAATAAATGACATGACAGGGGCTACCTGCTCCTCTTCCACCATGACAACAAGCACTGGGAACGGGGTCCCCCAGCCAGCTCCAAGCCTCTCACAGCTCTGACAGCCACACAATGTTTTAATTAGTTTGCTAGTTCAGGGCTTCCTAGAATAAATGCAGTTCTGTCATTTCTAATGCATTCTCATGATCAGTTAATGGATTTTTGGATTTTTTTTGCCTCCAGCTCAGACAACCTTCTTGTCTTCTAATTTCTTCTAAATCAGTTCCTAGGTTATCCATATTTTCTCATCTGGAACACTAATGAGCTTGTCTAAAATTCACTTTTAATGCACCATTCTCCTACCCTGACTCACCGAGGTGCTCTTTGTCAAACCCACATCACATTTCTGCATTACTCTCCAAAGTATCAGTAGAGATCTGTGGTGTTTGTGAGGGTCCCCAGGATGTGGGGAGAGATGAGAATCTGACTCCATGTTCTCAGAAGGCTGATTTATTATAATAGTCTTTCAATATTCTATCAATATTCTATCAATATTCTATCAATGAATGCTCTACTAAACTATACTAAAAGAAAGAGAAACAGTACATCAGAAGGCTTAACAAGAATGAAGAATAAAAACTCGTGACTGACTCAGAGTCTGACACAGCTGGCTGTGATTGGCCATTAGGAAAAAACAATTCACATGGAACCAACCAAACATTCACCTGCTGGCAAACAATGTCCAGACCACGTTCCAAAGCAGCAAACACAGGAGCAGCAATCAAATAATTATTGTTTTCATTCCTCTCAGCTTCCCAGGAGAAAAGCCTGGGCAAAGAGGATTTTCAGAAAATATAATGGTGACAGAGAGCAGTGGATGTACCATCATCTGGAAACCTGTCAGTCATGCTTGTACACATACACTGAGTTCAGGGTCTAACTTCACAGATACAAAGGACTAAATTAGGACTTTTGGAGCCCTAAAACTTGTGTACAATAATTTCCAGTTTTTCCAGCATTGTCCAAAATCATACACAGCATGGAGAACAAAAAGATACTCTGATTATTCAAAGGCAAAAGCCAAAATGAAACATGAATTTGTCGTGCTGGTGCTGGAAATCACAGGATCAGGCAAAATCTGGCTGTAGGGGACTCAGGATTTAATCTGCTCCAAACTGCTGGTCAAAATTCCTCTACAACTCCCTGAAAGGAGGTTGTGCCAAGGCAGGGATTGTCTCATCACCCAGACAAGCAAGAGAATGAGAGGACACAGCCTGGAGCTGTGGTCAGGTTGGAAATCAGGAGGGATTTGCTCACTGAAAGGGTGGTCAGGCATTGGAACTGCCAGGGAGGTTTGGAGCCCCCATCCCTGGAGGTGTCCAAGGAATGGCTGGGAGTGGCACTCAGTGCTCTGGGCTGGGGACAAGGTGGGCACTGGGCACAGGTTGCACTCGGATCTTGGAGAGCTTTTCCAATCTGAATTATTCCATGGAAGTAGGACTGCCTTCAAAAGCTGCTCAGAAACTTCTTTGAAAGTTCTGCTGCATTTTGTGGCCATCAAATCTCTCTCTTCTACCCAGTGACCTGTTTCAATGACTCATGGAAGAACTTCCCATCTCCAAGGCCTCCTTGTTGAGCAGCTCATTGAATCCACAAGTGGCCTTCAGAACTCAAACAGAATGAGATTAAATACCAATACATTTATCTATTTATTTATTTGCCAAGAAAGGGTGGTCAGGCACTGGAACTGCCCAGGGAGGTTTGGAGTCCCCATCCCTGGAGGTGTCCAAGGAATGGCTGGGAGCGGCACTCAGTGCTCTGGGCTGGGGACAAGGTCGGCACTGGGCACAAGTTGGACTCTATCATCTTGGAGGGCTTTTCCAACCTCAATTATTCCATGGAAGTAGGACTGCCTTCAAAGGTTGCTCAGAAACTTCTGTGAAAGTTCTGCTGCATTTTGTGGCCATCAAATCTCTCTCTTCTCTCCAGTGACCTGTTTCAATGACTTATGGAAGAACTTCCCATCTCCAAGATCTCCTCCTCATTAAGCAGCTCATTTGAATCCACAAGTGGCCTTCAGAGCTCAAATGTATAGGTATTTAATCCCATTCAGTTTATCTATTTATTTACTTATTTGCCAAGATAAAGTTTCAAATTAGACGTTCTCTCCCTCAGGAAGGAAATTGCTTTGAAAGTTTTTAAGGAGATCCCAATCTTTTTGCACGTGGCATCTTGTGGAGGCTGGCAATGCACAGGCAGAGGTAAACCAGAGATTATTCCTGACCTGAGCAGGCTGCAAATGCTATTTCAGGCAGAGAAAAAAAAAAAAAAAAAACAAAACGTCTTTAAAACTGGGATGATCGTTAACTTATCTGAGAAAAAACAGAAAGAGCAGCTGAACAGCCTCAGCTAGAAATGCAACAGATAAAGGCAATCTGAAGGTAACACATTTTTCATCACTTGGAGCTTTCGTGATTCCATTTGTGTGGCTCATATAAAACAGGTTTTAGTCAAACATACTACACTGGAATCAAAGTAGAGGGAAATAAGCAAATCTACTCATTTCCCTAATACAAGAAATCAAATCACATGTTCAAAAAGGAGGTTTTACTTTATTTATTCATATTATCTAGAATTCCATGAAAAGAAGAACTCAGAATGGAAATATTCATAAAAGTTGAATAAAACAATAGCCTAACATTTCTCTACCCTCTCTTGACAGCATTTTATTTTCCCTAGTCTCCTTGCCACACTGCTAAAATAGAAACACATTGTTGCTCATCAAAATACAATCTTGGGAACATGAGTTTTTATCATTGAAGAAATCCAAGTCCTGCAGCTCAGCTTGTCATTTCCTGATTGGCATCTGCTCAAGCATGCTATCAAAGCCCAAAGTTAACCCAGCACCTGGTGAAGCTGTGAAGCTACAATGGTACTTCTGGGCTGATGTTCTCCCTTCTCTGGGCAAAGCAGTGGAAAATAAAGCAAAAGGAGAACAAGAAATTCCTCCCAGAGGACACAATAACTTGGGTTTCACAACAGAGTTTGGTGCACGGCAGCTTCACTTGCTGATGCTGATCAGTTCATCAGAGAACTGGCAACCTCATTTTCAGCTGGTTTCACACTGAATTCAGGATTTTAGTCTGTCTTTCATACCAAGAACAAAATTATAAGGGTTTATAATGGAAGTTAGTTACCATGTTATCACCATGTGGAATGAAAGAACAAACTCTCTGCCTCGAGTCTGTGAAGTCATGCACACAGTTACACAGTTACAGACTTTCATGTCCAGAATAATTTGTAGAGAAATAACATTTTTTTTTTCAAAAACAAAGAAAGACAACCAGATGTCATTTCTTTGGAAAGTGACTCACTGAAAAAGCAGAGGAACCATACAGAGACATCATTTTGGGGGAATTAAAGATGCAGCTTTCCCTTATTAACAGCAGTGTGGAAACAAAAAGGCACCAGGCCTCTACAAACACTCCATAAAAACAGGTTTTAATAGTTTCTGTAATTTGGATGGTTGGTTTTGGTTTGTTTTCATTTTGAACCTTGAATCTTTTGAACCTTTTGAACCTTTGAATCTTTCATGGTGAAATAACCAACCAGAAGCATGTCTCAGTCAGACCCCTATTTTAGACTGCCTGTTTGTTAAGTTCCTAAATTGCTTTATAAGACAGACATAAGCAAATAGTTGTTGCTACTGTATTCCTGCTCACATTTTGAGACTATAAATTATTTAGAAGAAGAGTCTCTAAACATGTTTGAACAGAGCTTTCCAACAGAGATCACGAACAAAAACCGCTCATGTTTTTATTATCAACTACTATTAAGATAATTATGTAAAGAGAGTAAATACAGCATCAGGCTGAAGGAAGAAACAAAACAAACCAAAGACACTTGCCTGGGTAACAAGTGGCTCCAATAGTCTCTCTACTGTGAGAGTCCTGATTTCCAAACTTTTGGGGTCCCATTTCAAAATGATTGGTGACGTTGCAGAAGTCATACTCCCTGGAACAGATAAAATCACACAGCATGAAAATTACTACTGCAATATCCACATACTGCAGAGCATTTATTTAAAGAATAAATACATGTAGCCACATATTAAATACTTCTCCATAATCTTGCTGGTGTGCCTCTACTCACAAGAATACCAAGGTGCACTGCTGCCATATCCAATGGGTGCTTAGATGTTTATATTCTGAATTATTTTTACTCCTGTACCTCCAACACCACAGCAGATGGGTGTGTCCTGAAAGAACCACACCCCATGGAGGGCACAGGCAGGAACCAGGTTTATCCTGAAGGACTCCATCCCATAAAGACACCCCAAACTGGAGCAGGGGAAAAGTGTAAGGAAGTTTTATGAACTTACTGCAACCCCCATATCCCACTGCACCACTCAGCATGAGAGAGGCAAGGATCTGGAAGAGTCAGAAGTGGAATAAAACAAATTCAACAACTCTGTTCAGATTTTTGAATCAAACTTCCCCCACAGTATTCAGAATTGCTTAATTTTGCATCAAGAAGAGGAGTACTCACTTAAAACAGATTCTCCAGACCACCTTAGGCTTAAAAGCTTAAACAAAGCCCATAATGAAGACAACAGCAAATTGCTGTCATTTCAGTCACCATTTCAGGTTTTCATGCAATTTTCTAAACAGCTGACTTCATTCTGCAAATTCCAGATACAGAGAAGTCCAGCTGTCAGGCTGTAAGACACATCCAATGCACCTTATTGAGCTGGAAAGTGATTTAAGTATTTGGTGACAAGCAAAGCCACATGTAAATTAACCTGTCCACCAAACCAAAGAAGACAGAAAAATCTAATAAAAAATGCTCATTTTAAAGAATTCTGATTTAAATATTTCCCTTTATTTCAAAATTAAAATTAAAAATGAGAAGTCCTGTATACCACGAGAACACTTAACAGGTAAAGACAAACCAATAATATCATACTGGATCTCATGTGAGATTCAAGTAAGGCCCTTCCGCATACAATATCCCAAAAGTTTTTAATTTTTTCCTTCAGAAAACAATTCTACTACTTTTAACTTAGCAACTTCTGTATTTTCTCTTCGCATTTTTAATCAATAAGCTAATTTCAGTACTAGAATTTACAAATAAATAAATGACTTAATCACCACCGTAATTAAGGGAACAAAATCAAAAGAAACTCAGCTATTGCTCCTTGGGTCACAATGCACTTCATGAATTCAGCAAGGTACTTACTCAGGATTTAGCAGCATTATCCAGAATATACAAAATAAATTCTGCTGCTCTACTCAGGAGAGTGTCTTGAGGAATCACTATCAATCAATATAAACAGGCTGGTGAGTCTCTGCAAAAGATTCTCACTGGGTTTAAATACTTGCTCAAAAAGAGAGGCATATCAGAACTCCCTAATCAATATATTTATAAATCACACATAAAACCATCATTAGCCTCCTCTCACTTGCAAACATTTGGTAACAGAATTATCAGATAATATCTAGTGAGTGCTAAAATCACTATTATTCAGTTTCCAGTCTCCCACAAAAACCCATTAGGTTTCATGTTTTACAGTGCTGAAAACACCCAGGCGTGATTAAAGAAATTTGTGAGACAGTTTCTAGCTGCTGTAAACATGGGTGATGTGGGAGCCATCATTCTTCCAACAGATAATATTTAATTATCTTTCTGAGCCTGTTTCTTTTTCATATAAAGTTGGTTTCCACTCCAGTTGGTCTCTGGAATTCAAACAATAAACCTGAAGTAGACAATTATTCTAATTGGTTAATTATGAGTCATGATATTTTCAAATGTGTCACAGTCTTTTCACTAAGCACACTTCTCCTCACTAACTATTAACATGAGTACTCAAACTTGTCATAATTCAAAAACAAATTCAAAGCTGTGCCATGCTCCAGAGCCTACAAAAGCAAATTAACTTCAGTGGATGGCAGTCATGCAGGTGATACTAAAAATAACCTGGGTGATCAGTTGTTAGAGCCAGAACATTGCCAGAATAGAACCTTTACTAAAAAACAAAGCAAATATCCCTCAGAACTCAATATAAAAGGTGATTTTATTCTAATTTTTATTCCTTTTTCTTTTAGTTACTATTAATAAATTTTTCTTTATACCCTTTTAAAATTTTAAACCTACTTTACTTTTTTCCCAATCCTACCTCTCAACAAAAAATAAATACACTAACAATTAACCAACACTAAATCCACCACAGTGGCTTTCAAATATAAAAAGGGAACATGCAAGAAAAAACCTTATTAAAAACTTACGACAGTTTTTCATTTGCAGTCAAATCTACACCACAACAGCAAATAAGTAAAAAGTAAAATTAATGTATTTTTTTCAACACTCCTTCAGCTGCTGTCACAACAGCAATTTTAAATGACAAGACTAAAAAGAAGTTACCTGCCCAAGCGTTTATGTAAGAATAGATGGAGTGTTTCTTCCTTGCAATTTCTACACTGAGCTTCCTACAGCAAACAGGGACTGCTCAGTTGGATACAGGACTGGATGCTCAGAGTATTTTATGACTATATGACCAAATATTCCCCAAAAGTAGCTTTAAGTACTCCACTGAAAGGAAATATAATTTAATAGTGCTGTAATAATACTGCTGTAGAAGTATAGAGACATTGCAGTCCTAATCCTGAAACTAACTCCAGACTTCCTTCAAGAATATATTTTAGGAATTCTATTGCCTGTGTTTCTCCTTCCTTGAGCATGTGCCAAAATGTCTCTTGTTCTAAGCTTTTAGCTTTTCCTAAATACAGAAATGTCTCTATCCAGCTCAGTAATGTTCAGTGTGAGCATTTGTTTACCTAGTCTGTCTTCAAAGCCTATCTGTAAAGAAAATAAGTATTTACTTTAGCAAATACTAACAAGTATTTACTTGGACAAGTGGAGCCAAAATCCACATCTGTCACTGTCATATTTTCTGGGAAAATCCCTTTGCCCAGGATTCTTCTCCTAGGAAGCTGAGAAGCCTCAGAGAAAAAGGAAAACAAATTCTTATCTCATTTGCTTCTCCTGTGTTGTGCTCACATGTGGAATGTGGAGATTGTTTCATTGGTTTCATGTGAATTGTTTTGATTTAGTGACCAATCACAATTAAGCTGTGTCAGGACTCTGGAAGGAGTCAGGAGTTTTCATTATTATCTTTTAGCTTTCTGTCTGTATCCTTTCTGTATTCTTTAGTATAGTATTCTTTAATATAATACAGTATCATAAAATAACAAATTATCCTTCTAAGAACACAGAGTCAGATTCATCATCCCTGCCTTCATCTGGGAACCCTGCAAATACAAGGCACAACAGTAGAATTCTCCATTATATAACAGTCCCCAGAAGTCTAACCCCACACCACCCTTGCCACCAGCCTCTTCACACAGCATAACTTTACTTTTTGGAACATCCTACGAACCCAAAATGTTCAGCATGTGGCATTGTTTGTCTGTCACACTACAACTGCCTGGTTTTCCTCCACAACAGATCCACTCTCCCTGTGACTCACACAGAGATTTCTGAGGGTCAAAGCTGCTCACGAGTGATTGCAGCTCATTTCTGTGCTGCAACTCCAACATAAGAGTAAAAATATTTAAAATCTACATCGGCAAAAGCAATGTTTGCCGAAGCAAAGTGATAACTTTTTTAGAAATATAAACATTGCCAGTCTTGAGCAGACCTCCAGCTGTTAGTCCAGCTCACATCTGCAATGCAGACATGAAAGACAGATGGTAAACATTCCATCCAGAATAAAGTTAAAACCCTTTCTACCTGACTCATAGCAAAGCTGTAGGATTAATCAGCTGGCACGAGTAAATTGGCAATGCTGGCAGTACAAGTCTGTACTTCCAACACTCTACTTGACACTGGAAGGCAAAAAATTTTATTTATTAGTGAAAGAAAGATGTCCAGCAAAGTTGAGAAGCAGTAAGGTGAGAGGACTCAAAAGGCTAAATAGGAATAATTTAGCAAAAGAGTAACAATCTTTCCAAATAGTAAAGTTAAAATACTAACTTTTTAATATTCAATGTTTAACAACTTATGCTTAAGGCATTTACATGGACTAGTGAAGAAAATCTGCTTTACATCTGATTCTCCATCAGTCACCACCCTGGATTTAATTATCATTTTGCAATCCCCATGTCCAGGCCAATAGGGCAGTTCCACACATGGTTTAAGCCCAGCTGATCTCCCAGCTCAGCTCTTCCTGCAGGTTTCCACCCTTCTCCCTTGGTGAATTCCACAGGAGCAGAACCTGCCTGAACGATAATTCGCCCTGCAGGAGGGCTCAGCCCCCTGCCTGCCTCTGCAGCCAGGCTCACAGCAGCACAGGTGACAACCAAAGCCCTGAGAAGAGCAGCACAGGCGGAGGGCAGGGCAGCCTCTCCAGACACAAAGCGATTTGAGATGAGTTAAAAACTGCACAACACAGCCTGCACTGCCTTGGTTCTCATCTGAAGATTGAGAACCACGTCAAAACAAACACCTCTCTGCACAGAGACAGACTTCTGCCAGGAATATGGAATTCCTTCCAGCAGGATACACAAGCCCTTGAGACAGACAGAGGAAAAAAAAAAAAATCTGACTGATTCCACAGACATTTGCTTCACTGGGAGGTGGAAATCTAAACACATGAATGGTTATACCCTTGGGGCTGCCTACAGAGCATAGCAGAGATGCACAAGCTGGCTCTGGATTGGTACAGGGCAGGCAGGAGCACAGGACAAAGCAGCTCAGACATCAGAAATCCTACAAACACACAGAGCCCTGGAGAGCCCAGCCATGGCTGACCTGGCTGGCAGAGGGCTGCACTCAGATATATACATATTTATACATAAAAACCTACATATCCATAGCCAAGATTCTGCTCCCTGACATTTATCTGCAGTGCTGAGCAATGCAGCTGCACCTCTGCTCTGACCTGAGCAGCAGAAAGTGAAGCTGCAAGAGCTCTGATCCTCAAGGGAGCCTGGTTTCCAGCACAATTCCCAACCCAT